AGCCCCCCACCCCAGCCCCCCACCCCGCTTGCCCTGCCCGCAGCCACCCGGTAATATGTGACTCCCTAAAAGCCATTAAGGAAATGCGCATCTCAATGATTTTTCATCTCGCGGGTCAGAGGCGAGGAGCCGTTTGTCTTGTTAGTGAGGAGCCTGTCACTGCCAGCGCTGCCTGGCCCTCCCGGGAAGCGCCCGAGGCCAGGCCAGGCCCGCCTGCTCGGCTGCCCGCGGTGGCTTGCCAAGGCCCTTGTCAGCTGCCCTCCGCTGCCCCTCCGACCTTTGGCCCTTCACTTCCCGCTGCCTGCGGGGACCAGACCGGGCACCTGGCGTAACGGCCCTCCCTCTGCCACAGACCGATGCTCGCCCTGGTGGTGGGGCACCAGGAGAACCCCGAATTCCAAGGCTACAGGCAGGCCATGGAGCACCACCGGGTGCCAAGCGAAACCCTGAGCCCCCAGCAGCTGGCCCACCGCTTCCCAGGGATCCACCCGCACGGCGGGGAGATGGCCGTGGCTGACCACACCGCAGGCGTCCTGTATGCCAACAAGGCGCTTAAAGTTGTGCAGGTACCAACCGCGCGTGTTGGGGGGAAGGGACGTGGCCTCTACTCCTGACCTTGCGCTCCGCCTTTCCCTCCTTCCCCAGCGTGCCCTTTGGCCAAAGCAGACCCTCCTTGCCCTGGGGTCAGGCTTTGTATCCTGGCACAGCACAAATGCACGCTGGTCCCAGCAAGGAAGAGGGTCTTCTCACCCCACCCCCCCCAAACACTGGCGCAAAGCTTTGAAATGTATTTTTCCAGCCCTGGGAGGATTCTGCATTCCCTTCCTGTCCACCCCAGAAGGGAAGAAGGGTTGCAGACTTTTATTTAGCTTTATTATATTGATACTTTAAAACTTCCTTTGTGCCCGAAGGCCTTCAAAAACCTTCATAGAATGAAAACAAGTTCAAATCAAAACACAACAATAAAACATCATAGGGCCATTTAAAAAGAAAGAAAGGAAGGGAAAAAAAAGAGAAAGAAATGAAAACCGTTTCAGTCAACAGACAGGCAGGCCTATAAAACCGACAAACAAATGTCATCAGGAGGTGAAATAAAACGATCTTTACGGCTAGATTGAAAGCTTGCAAGGCCGGGGCTCCTCAGCGCTCCCGTCAGCAGGATTTTCCGAGCTTTGTGGCAGCCTTCGGGCCCGCCAGAGGGGTTGCATCCCAGCACCCATGAGTCTCACGCGGGGTGGCCCTTCAGGGGTTGATATCCCAGCCAGGGGTGGGTAAAGTTGCCTCAAGGGGAGTTACACATGTTTTCTGTTCAGATAGACTACTACTGTTCAGCGCGCTCAGGCAGGGTAAACTCATTCTGCAGGCTGCAGCTGCTGTCGGTTCAGACGCACGTTACTCCTCCTTTCTCCGAGGGGAAGATTCACAGCTGCGCTAGCCAGCGGGCTTCCCGGGATGGGGCTACGAATTCAGTGAAAGGCTAGGATGGGGGGGGTCTCCTGCCTAACCTTCTGCCCCCACCAAGCCTCAGAGAGCCGGAATCTGAACGCATTCCTTTCTCGCAGCAGTTTCTGAATTGCGCCAGCTGTCACAGACAGAAGAGTCATTAATTGACTCTGAATAGCTTCAACGGTTGACGAAAGCCTTAATTAAATGATCGATGGTGCCCAGCGCAACTCTGCATGCCTTGCTGGTCTGGTCTGGCTCCCTTTCCCAGATCAGTGATGCACGCAGATGCGGAAGGGTTTGATCCAGGAAACTCTTTGACTGAACTGCACCTCTTCCGTGTGTGACTCCCTTTCCTTGGGCCATCGCTGCGGAGCCACCTGCGGCCCTTCCCGTTGGGGCAGGATCCGGACCCCCGTCTGCACAGCTGCCAAAGATGCCAGCGCGGGATGCGGCCTGTCTCCTGCACATGCAGCGGATGGGGACACCCCTGGGCTCAGCCGCGAAGGGGCTCCTGTCTCGTGGGAACCAGCCAATGTGGCTTGCCAAACCGTGTAACCGGCCACGTCTTAGTGCAGAGTCCCCGGGTCACGCAGCCCCCGGAAACGCCAAACAGGGTTGCTGAGTTGTCGTTTTTCACATAATCAGGGGGAGGGGGATTAAATGCGCAGCAGTGGAGAGCCCTTATATTAACCATATTTAATTAAATTTATATGGAAGTGGAATTAATTTGAGTTCTGTTGCCTTCCTCCCCTCTCTCCCCCCTTCCATGGGGACGGCAGCCTTTGGCCCTTCATTCAGAGGCCGGGCAGAGGGTCAGAATGAGGTGGGACCCCGGTGGAAGCGCATCCAGGGAAGAGAGAAGACCACCCCCAGGTTTCCCCCCGTGTGAGACTTGAATGGTGGGCAGGAGGCAGGAAACGATGGAGCCAGGCAGACCCATTATGGGGAGGGCCTCTCTCTCTCCCCCCCCCCCACAATTGTTCCTTATGTGGGGGCCTTCCTGGGTGAGCAGGATCACACTGACATCTCTCCTTGCAACCCAGGAAAAAAGAGAGAATCTGGTCTCTGAAAACGCATTTTGTTTCCTGGAAAGCTGAGTTATCTTTCTGGGGAGGCAGCCTAAAATTGCATTGGCCTCTTTTGCAGCCACATCACACTGCTGGCCCTTATTCACTTTTCAATTGGCTCTTATTCCAAGACTTTTTCTTAAGTACCATTACCAAGCTGGGTGGCCCCCCCCCCCGCACTCCATCCCAGCACCATTGATTTTTATTTCCTATCTTCCCATCTTTGCTCTGATCTGTATTAAATGTCATTAGGTGATTTTCAGGCCCTTTCTCTAAGCCAGTGTTTCTCAACCTTGGCAACTTGAAGAGGGGTGGACTTCAACTCCCAGAATTCTGCCAAGAATTCTCCCAGAAGTTGCCAAGGTTGAGAAATGCTCCTCTAAGCTATCAAGATAATTTGAATTCAATTTCTGTCTTCCAGGCATTCGCTCTTCCACCCACTCTTGTTGCACCAGCAAATCTGTTCAGCCTTCCCCCAACTCTTTGGCACGAGCCCTTTGGGGCAGGCTCTGTTCCTGATTTAACTCCCCACCCTGGCCTTGGAGGAGGAGGGCATTTACCCTTCAGAAAAGCTAGTCCCTCTTTTTGGGGCAAGCAGCATTGCTCGGGGCCACGTTCTGCGCGTGCACAAAACGGTGAATCATAACCTACCCCATAGATCACGCCAGGCCCTTATCTCCCAAAGAAAACGGGCCCAGGCTGACCACAACCTTCAGAGGGGACGTGGTGCAGCTGCTCGGTGCCTGATCTGGTTCCGGGGTCCTCGGAAGCCAGGAGTTGCTCCGCTGGAGACTGGGGGGAGACTGACCTCCTCTCGGCTTCTCCCCACCAGGACCTCTTTCAAAGCCACAAGGGGACCTTGAGGGACGGGGAGAAGGTTCTCCACATCCTCCCGGGACCAGTGGTCACTGTCACGACCAGCCACGGGAGGTACCAGGCCAAACGCCTGGTGGTCACAGCCGGGGCGTGGACGAATCACCTCCTGGCCCCGCTGGGACTGCAGCTGCCTCTTCAGGTAAGCAGGCCCCCCGGGGGGATCGGGACCAGGGGACCGGCAGCAACCGGGGCGCAAGGGCGGCCTCAGGAAGTATCCCTCGGCGTCAGTGGTGGGCAGCGCCCTGCATCTCTCCTTCCATCGTTCCCCCACCCGGCTGATGTCAGCATGACCACACCCAGCTGTTTCATGCAAGGGGCGTCGGCAGAGGGGGTCCAAAAAGTCAAGATGGCGGCCTGGCTATGTTACGAAGCCTTTTTTTGAGGTGTGCCAGGGGACTTCCACCATGGATGCCCGTGGGGCGTGTCCTTGAGGGAGAGAAGTCCAGGATTCCCGCACTAGGCAGCGGGTTGGAACAGATGCGATCTTCTAGATCCCTTCCAACTCTTATTCTACGGTCAATTGTTGAAATCCAGGAAGAATCGAACTTTGGCTGTACCTTAGAATACATTTCCTGCTTGATAATGGAAAAACTGGCTCTCTGGTGTTCTCTGCCAGCGATGCCGTACTTATTTGGTAGAATTATATCCCGTCTTTTGTGCAGGACCTCAAGCGCTCCCTCCTCCTAGACTTCCCTAGAACCACAGCCTTGTGAGGTGGGCTGAGCTGACAGGCCCCAAGTCCCCCAGGGAGCTTTCGGGGCTGAGGATGGGCTTGAACCCGGGTCTTCCCCCTCCTGGTCCCACAATGTCATCGCTGCGCCAGCGGGTCTCGCAAATGAGCTGAGGACTAATTCTCTGCCGTGGTCTTTTCCAATAACCCCCGTGCGTTTTAAGGCACGGGGGATAAGTCCCTGGCACCCACCACCCATGGGAGCTCGAGGAGGGTCAAACAAGTTCCACCCAGCCAAGTTGCGGGGCGGCGGAGAAGGCCTGCTGGAGGCCCTCGTGGAGGGTCCAGCAGAAAAGGGGTTTCTCATGTTATTTCACTAACCTCAAGTCTTGCTAATGCGATTTTTCTCCAGCCCCGAGGGTAAGACCTTTCCTCTCGTCTGGGGTCTCCGGGGGCCCCAGGCAGGCCCAGATCGCAGATTCTGGGCTCACGGGGGGGTTCGGCACCTGCCATTTATGCCAGGGCTGCCTCGCCCAGCCCAGCTACTTTGAATTGCTTATTTACTAACGGCGGATCGATTCATTTCCGCTGTCGGTGAATCAGCCCAGCTGAACTGCTCTGGCTGGTGTACAACAAGGTCAGAACAAACCAGAGGTAATACAAGCAGTAAATAACCGTCAGTCAAAGACACAAAAGAACAGACGCGCATGGAGAGATGGTCATTGCCACAGGATGGTGTTCACCGTCTTCCTGAAAAGAAGACACGCAAGCGGTGCTGGCTGTGGGTGATGGGGGCTGTAGCCCAGCGCATCAGGATGGCCATGTGCCCCGCCAGGCCAGTGCAGGGAACTCTGGCGCCTTGGCAAGGAAACTCCCTGCTAATTGCACTAATTGTGGAAAACAAACGCTAGCGCGGAGGGCGATTGCAGAATTGCAACACCCTTTTTCTGCCCGCCAGGGGACGGGGCAGATGCCACCCAGACTAGCTGGCAGAGTTGAGTTGCCTCGCCGAGCTCATTCGCTCTGGTCCCAGGCCTGCCCTTGGCCCTTGTCCTGCTCCAGGCCCCGGCCCTGGCCAGGTCCCTCCCCAGAGCGCAGGGCACGCGGGGGCACTGCCTGCCTTCCTGAGCCCAGGTTCCCCTTGCAGCCGTTGCGCATCCGAGTCTGCTACCTGCGGGCAAAGGTGCCAGGCCCGGAAGGCCTGCTGGGGCAACCTCCGTGCTTCCTGGGCATCGGTCTCAACCAAGACAAGCACCACTTCTACGGCCTGCTGTCCGGGGAGTACCCGGATCTGGTCAAGGTGAGAAGGAGGGGCCCAGGAGGGCTGGCGCAGAGGAGGAGTTGGGGGGGGGCTGTTCTGTGGCTGCATTTTTGTGCCAAGCTGCTCCAGGTGGGTGGCTGTCTCTTGGCCCCCAGATGGAAAACGAGCAACCCGGCCTCCCCCCGGCCACACT